AGTTAACAAATACTGCATCACTAACACGGGATTTGTCTGCATGGTCAAGCAAAGTATTCATAAAATACCTCACACGGGCTATGTCAGCCTCGCGACTGGTGTCTACTGCATGAGGAGGTGCGTCCCAGCCAGCAGTTGGAGGAGTCAACTCACAAACTGTCCTCAACAGAAGCATAAGAAGTGTAGGGTCGAAGTCTTTGGATGACACCGAGGAAGCACCATCAGGATACAGTTGACCCCATTGCTTTGAATTGAGGATTCTTTGCTTTCGAAGTGACCGGAGTGTGTCATGATTTTGATAGACTTTCAAATGTTTCCGAAGATTTTGTGGTTGAATGATTCTGTCAAATGTTTCTCTCAGGACTCCTGAGCCCATGGTAACCAGAATCTGACACAGCTGAGCATAATTTGATTCCTCTTTCGCGGAGGTTAATTTAGGAGCAGTACCTACAACAGTTAACATAAAAACACTTGACGAGTCACCTCTTACAATTTACTTCCCTAGGATGTTAAATAATGTTTTGTTATCATGGTCCTAAAAGCCGGACAGTTCCGAATTTCGGGCAAAGACACTGGAATCATGGCACACGGCCAAAACTGTTGAGGTTGACAATAATTCATGCCCACTCCCGCGACAATATAACATTCTTTTAAACAAACATTAATTTTTGCGCTTTTTGCATTCTTCCGAACATTCTTTTTACGTAAGAAGACGTTCGAGACACTGTGTGAAAATGTTCGTATACTTACAACTTCCTGCAAAGTTACATATTAAACATGATTTATTTATAAATCTGTTACAGTTCAGATCTGCTATTTACCTGCATGGTCCTCGCCAAGCATCCTCTTGGTACCCTGGGTACTAGAAGCAGATGAAACTGCAGGAGATTTGTGTTTTCGGCTTTGAGTTGAACCTTCAACAAAATTGGTGTGACCTGCACACAGAAAGGTATTTTGAATTAAGCAAGATTAGCCAGAAAGTTTGCATTTTTGAAAAACATCAGTTCTTCCTGGTATGCCGATTATTAAAGTTAAATGAACATGCAAAAGTGCTTCTCACTACTACTGTTTTTTTTTAGAGGTGAAGTCTAAAAATGTAAACATAACGGCTTCACTGAAACATTACACACCTGAAATCAGAATTCAAACTTACATCGGTCAGTCAGCTATCGTTCATACCGGACGAAATACTTGTACTGCTGATTTCAACGATGTCTTATTTGTGGCGACTTGAAAGAAATTTATTAAAACTAAAGCTTAAACCGACTATTTTAAAAAGGTTTTTTTTTATCATCTGCATCTAAAGTTATCTTCTTGAAACCCTGCAGTTATAATACCAGGTCAAAGGAAAAGTGAAAATCATGTTTCCTTATAGCTACACTATCCGGCACATCGCACCACAGGTGTGATCTGAATATCGGGTTCAACAAAATTGGGAAAATTCCTGCTATTGAGCTAAAACAGCAAACTAATTGAGAGCCACTTGT